AGGTCTAGTGTTAATTGCTCCATGCTCTGTTTGCTTCTGTATATATGCTTGTGACAGAGAAAATGGTGTCTGTAACCAATCAAATACACTTTCTTATCAGGAACTCTGACAAGGGAACCAAGGGGACATGGAAAATATGACAAGTCAAAAGACTCAATGCATGTGACCCCTCCATAAATAGCTCATTAACTCCTTCCTTCTAAGTCAGAAGGGATATTAAACAACCTATAAGATCATTATCTAGCATACAGTCTATCAGTGTGCACCAGTCAATGAAAAATACAATTAAAAATCTGCAGCACTGAGCAGGAGTCAATTCGGAATCCTATAATAAGCTAAGCAGGGGAAACACTATTAACCTCTAGGGACCTGTGGGAGGCGCCACAAAAAAAAACACGATGATGGTTTATTTCAAGTTTCATCACAGTGTTTTAAACTCTCTCTCTCACCTACTTCTCAATCTAGCTCCCATGTGGATCTTATAGTAAAATGGAACAGCTCCCAAGTGACGGGCTTTACAAAATAGGGCTGCGCGACAGATGAACCTAATAGCGGAGAGCGCCGGAGGCACGTTAGCGAAGAACGGGCCACAGTTGATAAGTCATTGAGTGAGAGTCTTATCCATGCATGAGAAATTATGTCAAATATTCCGTTTATCTCACAGACCCTAGAACAGACCGGCCAACTTCTATTAAATGTCACAGCTTAAATTGCTCATCACAACATGGTAGAACAGTATTTAAAGAGCATTTGGTTCTGTTCTTGTGAATGGATGGCTTAAGTTACCGGGGAAAGAGCTGAAAAGTTGACATTTCCACGCTAAACATTTCGCGCTCCAGGTTTAAGTGTGCATAATTTCTCGTGTTGCCTTTGCTTAGGAATGACATTTCGCTCTTTCTGATAAATCTGGCCACTATCTGTAGGCCTGAGCCACAAGGTGGCACTCACTGGACCCCTATCAAAGATTTCAGACATCAGAGCTTGATTCAGAAATGTCAGTTGGATGTTAAATAATGCAAAAGCATGTCAACATCCCAAAGGTTTGACTGAACTGCCGAAAAACACCCAAGCATTGCGTTTGCCGAATAGACTCTCTCCAGGGCCGTGTTTATCAGTCCACAATTGGCCTCATTATGAGAAACATAAAATCTCAGTGCGGACACGATCACTTTATTATAATCATTAATTTCATAGTACTCTGTGTGCTAGTACTCCCAAGTTTCATTTGTATTTGTGTGTATGTTTGGGATGAAGCCCAGATTTTCTAAGGCTCTTGTTAGTGTGAAAGGCAGTACTGATCCATGGTTTCAGGGCTGGCTGTGAGTGATGTTCTCCCGAAACACGGCCGCAAACGCTACTAATAACACAGCAGAGGAATGCGGTGACCATGGAAATGACTGCCATGCTGATAAGGGCTTCCGCTGATGACATCATAGTAGTCTATGTGAGACTGCAAGATGACTCAGTAGGGTGTGGTGACTGAAGTCGTCATTACCGACCTTCTCACACAAAAACCCCTTCCTGGGAAAAATTCTTCAGAGCCCCCATAAGGAACGTGGGATCCTTAAACTGTTGATTGCAACGGAGATAATTTATTATTCATTCCGAGTGACACAAATGTAGATTTCTTCAGTATAACAAGGAATAATTTATCACAAGCTGTGCCTTGCATTCAAAAATACAACCATAGATACCTATAACACATATTACACTTACAGCCTCTTTATGAATATATTTATTATATAGGTTTATATAATATTTAACTTATGCAATAATAATCACTGAATCTATAGTATGGACGAGTTCGTAAAAGCCAACGACAGTGAGCCTCAACTGGTTTGAGCATAAAAAAGGGTTTATCGTACAACATTTACGAATTGTCCATAAAATCAAATGCTTGATATAATTATGAACTGCATAGGCCCAGCAATATGCAAAACGATTACTATGACATGCTGAAAAGGAAGCAGACCATTTTGGTTTCTAAAGGTCTCATGAATTTTGATGGTTTCATGCTCTCGGCAGCCAGTAATTCAATGCACAAATCACAATGTTGTTTGCACAAACCATGTTTATCCTAGCTGCAGGTGAACCCCGTATTTAATGTTAAAGTTTTTTCTGACAATCTGACAATGAGGGATCTCAAGCAACCTGTCCATGTTGGCATCTTCTTAATTTGGCTAGCTTTAACTAAGTAACTGTTGATTTTGTGCCAAAATACTGTTTGAATGGATGCACAGACTGTGATATCAAAAACAACAAAAAATATGGGAAGCACTTTTCCTTCGTTTTTAAAAGCTATGCCTTTTTATTTCGCTGTCCTAACTAGGCATGATTACATTTGCATTATTAGCATTGATTTTACCTGATGTCCTTGATTGTATAAGAAGAGACCTGCAACCCAACACCTGAGAACCACTTAATATATATGAAGAAAGAAAAAGGATTAATTATGCAATGGAGGAAGAGGAGCTCATGGCTAAAAATGGCCACTTCAGAGCAAGGGACATTACTGTTTTAGTATGCATTTCAACACACACTCACACCTTAACGACTGGTCTAAGTTTGAAAGAACAAGCCTTTTAAGGATCCACATTAACAACAAAACCTGAAGTTCTTAATTAATGTCTAGTCCAACCAACTAATTTAGTGGGCTTTTTCTTCCTCCAGTACCTGAAGAACAAGAAGTCGTTGTTGTTAATGCACTACCTTCCTTTGCCACTGATTTTAGATTATTGTCTGTGCTCTACCACTAAAGCAATTTCCTCTGCGTATCTAATTGTTATTACAACCACTTGGCTCCTCCTGATTTGTCTGAGAGTTATTTATTTATTTTCATTCCAGGGAACTGCAGCAGTTTCCCAATGGGCAACAACCGTAAGATGCATAACCTGCGGAAAATATGAATTTCTAAGGGCTAAATTAACACTGCTGTCAATTACCCCAATGCTGTTTTATGTTCCCATAAAGACAAAATTAGAAAATGCCATATGACACAGTAAAAAACAAACAGACTAGATTCAAAAACAACATACTGAAGAGAATAAAACATCCGCTTTCATGCACCGTCATAGTTTTTGTATGGCCATTATGGGTGAGATGCGCATGTTTATTTTTTAATACATCTGGCCCCATCCAATAACCTGTTTATTGCTCCTCCACTTCATTAAAGGTCCCATGGCATGAAAATGTCACTTTATGAGGTTTTTTAACATTAATATGAGTTCCCCTAGCCTGCCTATGGTCCCCCAGTGGCTAGAAATGGCGATAGGTGTAAACCGAGCCCTGGGTATCCTGCTTCGCCTTTGAGAAAATGAAAGCTCAGATGGCCCAATCTGGAATCTTCCCCTTATGTCGTCATACGGGGAAAGGTTACCTCCCCTTTAGGGACCACTTAGGCTTATATAAAAGCATCCAAAAAGCAGCATGTCATGGGACTTTTAAGCTCCAAGAAAAAACAAAACAAAAAAATAACACTTGGGTCTGGCAGATTTGCTCATTATATTTCACAATGGTATTCAGGCTTGTGAAGACAAAGTACTTGTCATCCACATTGCAGTCCCCTCCTCTACCAAAATTGCTTAGCAGTGCATATAGTCTATGTCATATTCTCACACATCGGTTCACACACCTCCCCCAAACGGACTATCAAGCACATGAACACAGTCTTGTATGACACATAGTCAGCGGAACTATATCATGCATAGATGTAATCATTTCCACTAGAGGGTTAAGGTATGATTTTCATGATAGTTGTATTACCCCTTCACCAGAGTAGCCCCTCTCTCCCTCTGTTGGATAACTTGAGACCATTCAAACAGAATATGAGATTCATTCTGCTCCAAAGATGAATATGACAGCCTTGCATAAAATATAACTTCATTACAATTCCAGCTAAAATATAAAACTCAAGGCAGAGAACCATTATAAATTCTTAGAAAATACAAAATAAATTAAATGACTATCACTTGGCTCTATTGTAGAGCACTATGCCCTCCCCATATAAACTGCTGAAAATGTAAGATTATTACTATTCATGCTACAACTCGCCTGGGACTCACAGCTCAATAACTTCCTATATGAGTCAGACCCACATGCGCTGCACTCACTGTGTTCTGAGGAAAAAAATCTCATACCAGCTGCTCATATATTCACTGCATTTCCGACTCCCTCTTTTTCATACATAGATTTTTTTTATAAAGGATGAATTTGACCATGAGATTAAGTATCATCATTAATAATGAGTAATCTAAACACAAAAAGGTCTCCTAGCCTTTCCAGTCTGGTGTACAAATGGTCAGCAAGCTGGTCTCTCAGCCTGACCAAACTGGTGTTCAATTGGTTGGCAAACTGGCCACCCAGCTTGACCAGCTGAAATGTGCCTCAAAATCTCCTAATGTGACCAACAAACCAACCCGGGAGACCAATTAGACTAGCAAACCATCTTAGGCTGGTCAGATATATACTATGTAGTAGGGTGACCATACGTGCCATTTTCCCAGGACGCGTCCTGGCCAGGATTTCTATTTCTTTTGATGTCATACACCGATCGGTCTGCACACACAAACAAAGCCAAAACCTAGATATTTTAGGCAATATAGAAATCCTGGCAAGGGAAAGATTCCTGGGAAAATGGCACGTATGGTCACCCTACAATATAGGCTATATTTATTAATATATTTAATTATGTTGGTCTTTCTTCATTATACGTTATAAATCTCGTGTTGCTTAGTTTGTGAAGCTATGGTGAAAATGTAAAACAAATTTAGCCTACTGTTGTTGTATCAATAAATAAAGCACATGAACTGAGCTGAACTGAAACTTGATAGTAAGCAGAGAGAGAGAGAAAGAAAGAAAGAAAGAATATTCACGTTTCCTCTTCAAATTTAGTCAACAATCATGTAAAAAAGTCCCTTCACAAATTTCGCCACATTTAAATATTCTTTCACACCTTTTAATCTGATACCATTGTGTTTAAAAGTCCCCTACTGTGCGCTCAGCTGAACTTCACTCGAGTATCGAGCCACTCCCAAACACACCTGATAACACTGAGCGACTGCTGCTGGGAATCCGCCATCATCCTCCGCATTCAAGTCACGGGAAAACAAACTAACTCCTAAATACTTCACGAACTCGTACATTTATCACTCAAACGGGTTCTTTTAGTCAGGTTTTATTGGATTATAGCTTTTGGCTTTGGTTTAGCCGCTGGGAGGGATTACACCACGCGGAAAAACTTTACCACGGTATTTTAAAAGTCTCATCCCTCCATTTTGAATCTGACAGGAATTTCAACAGTTTGGTGAGTATGTTTAGCTTTTGTCTGGATAGTTTAAATGACATTTTAATATAACTAATATAAAAGTGAATTTGCTTCATAATTGGTTCAATTTATGTCTATATTGTGAATACAAGATAGACAGAAAGGCGGAATGTGTGTTTGTGGCTACATTGTTAGCTCGTTTTGTAACTTCATGGAATGTTTGGGATATTTCTGTCTCTGTCGTTGCATATTACACTAAATGAACACCGGCTTGTTTCTTGTAAACGCTTTGTTAGTAATCTTTTGACGAATTTAGAAGGGCCATGAAAGGACAAAAGAGTCAAACTTCTTAAGAGTATGAAACAGAAACTATCCTGAAAACTTTGGTAGGGAATGCTAGTTAGCCGTTAGCGGCACGTCTCGTATCAGGACAAATGTGTCGGGAGTTTTTATTCTTAAAGGTGTTTTTTGATCAAAACAGGGCACACCAATGTTATCGTACGTGTTGTTGTGGATTTTTGAAATCGATTATGATGATAATAGTCTTAAGGCATTTGAGAGAATAAAATTCATTCGAGGAGTTTATGGCTCCGCCTAAACCACAAAATATGGATCAGGCCCTTCCTGTGAGCTCTGCCTTTAGCAGTGTATAATAATACAGTATGCAGACAGTTATTGAGATAATGTGTTGTCTATCTAAAATAACAAAAAAGATGATATTATTGACCACTTTACCTGTTGATATGTAAGAGATAATGTTCCATTGGAACATAAAGAATTCTATTTGATGTTTTAATATACACATGTTCTTGCTTGTTATGCAAAAAAAACTAAAAAAAAAAAAACTAAAGAGCAATATTTCCCACTCATGAGCCTGTATATAGATAAATTATTCATTTAGTTTCATTTCTTGTATATATATATATATATATATTTTTTTTTTTATTATAAAACTACTTGTGTATTATTCAGTTTACTTGGGCCAAAGTTGAATGTCCTACCTTTTTGTATGACACATTTGAATTCAAAGGTTTATTCCCAGTATGTTGGTCATGCAACACTGACCTCGCCCACTTTGTCTGCATTCCCTGCCCTATATAGCAAACAATGTCCATTTAGTCTGGCTGTCTAGTGCAGACAGACCCCTTGCAACAACAGCAGAGCCTTCGGGGTAGGCTGATTATCCTTGTCCTTCAGTGCAAGATTGCTGATCAATACAACTGCAGTCACTGTTTGAATGGAAAATAGCAGAGTGGGCAACAGAGCTACTCAGACGGCATAAGTGTGGGTTGTTTACGTAATTAGTGATTGCATACACTAAATATGAGTCTGTCATGTGACATTTCATTTGATAAAAGACACAGCCCCAGGCCACTTATTTGTCTGTCTCACCTTAATCCATTGATCGCTTTTTCTCTCCTCAGAAACATGACGAGCATTAACACAGCAAACATCAACTTCAAATGGGATCCCAAGAGCCTGGAGATCCGCACACTGGCTGTGGAAAGACTGCTGGAGCCCTTGGTTACCCAGGTCAGACTACTTTTCCAGATTTCACCCTCAGTTGTTGCATTAATCACCAAAGGTCACTCTTTTCCTTAGATTTTTCTTGCACAATTTGCAGGTCACCACTCTTGTGAACTCTAGCAACAAAGGGCCGTCCAACAAGAAGAAAGGCCGCTCCAAGAAGGCTCACGTTCTGGCAGCCTCTGTGGAGACAGCCACCCAGAACTTCCTGGAGAAAGGCGAGAAGATTGCTAAAGAGAGCCAGTTCTTAAAGGACGAGCTGACCGCAGCGGTGGAGGATGTCCGCAAGCAAGGTATGCAAAAAAGAGAAGTGTGTTAAGGTGTGACGCACGGAGAAAAATACTGTAGCAGGCAGATCACTCACTGTTCATGATGCACAAACTATTGGAAGAAAATCCTCAATATTGATTTGGAGGTTTATATGACTGTTTCTGAGGGGAACTGACCGTCTTCAGAAAAGTGTAAGTGGTATTTTGTTTTCATCTTGTCTCTGTATAGTTCATATTAAAGGGGTCATATGATGCGATTTCAATTTTTCCTTTCTCTTTGAAGTGTTAGAAACTCTTGGTGCATAAAGAAGATCTGTAAAGTTGCAAAGACTAAAGTCTCAAATCCAAAGAGATACTCTTTATAAAAGTTGAGTCAACCATGCCTACCTAAAACGGCTCATTCTAACACGCCCTCACATATCTACCTCACTATGTGGGAAGATTTGCATAACGCCACCCAAATGTTCACGCAAAGAAAGAAGGCGTAACTTTTATTCTCGCTGTAGTATTGTTGCTGCCGCCATGTCGTGAAGACGCTGTGATGCTAAAAATATAGCTTTGAAATCACAGGAATAAATTGCATTTTAAAATATTTCCAAATAGAAAAGAGTTATTTTAAATAGTAAAATTATTTCAAAATGTATTTTGGATCAAATAAATGCAGGCTTGGTGAGCAGAAGAGAATTCTTTAAAAACAATAAAAATCTTACTGTTCAAAAACTTTTGACAGGTATGTTAGAAGATATTAATAATTAATAAGGTGAGTCTGAGATGTTTATTTGACAGTAATTTCACATTTCTTGTTTGTATGAAGGCTAAATACAAATAAAAGGTGAACATTAATTTATTTGTGCTGTTTTTTTTCCTCTAAAGTTTTATATGAGGTGTCACAGACTTGGCAAATTAATTTTTCATAAGTTTGTGTGCACAGACATCTGTTGTGGGTGTTCTTGGCAGTTTTTACAAGGCTTTTTAAAATAGTGTTCATATCGATATCGGAATTATATCGTATTGACCGAAATAAAGAAATATATCGTTATATAAATTTTGGCCATATCGTCCAGCTCTAACTTGAGGTATTCGGCCAATATGAATCTGCATCTCATTCAGAGCTTCTGCTGTTTGCTTCATTCAGGCATGTAGTAAAATTTCACAAAGCTAGTCAGAACATTCTGTTTTTGCTTCAAATTGGGTTATTATTAAATCAAGTTATGTATATGAAATTATATAACTAAATTATATGTATTTGATTTATATAACTAAAATAACTAATTACAGATTTAGGTTAAATAAAGATGTCAGTCTTTATTTTTCTTTTTAGGAAACAAATCAAAGAAAAAATAAACATTCTACTGTTCCTAATATTCTGTATGTTGCTCAAAAACAAAATATATTGTGTTGTATTTTTTATTTTTTTACCCAGTCATTTAAAGATAACACATTTTAGAGCTGTAACGACAATACCGTGATACTGTGAAACAGTGATATTTTTGCTTAAGATTATCATACCGTCAAAATCTCATACCGGCCCATGCCTAGTGTTAACTAGGGTTGGGTTGACGGTATTAAGTTTGAGGAGCTGATATCAATTTCAAGATCAGTCTTTTAGTTATGTTAATTTCTGTTGTTTTTCTGTTTTTTGTGTGAACAAAACTTCATCTTGCCGTCTATCCAATAATCATCTTTTTTTGATGTACTGCTAGTTTTTGCTTGAAATCAACATGAATGAACATCAGAAAGTATGTTCAAAGAAATGGTTCTATGTACTGAGATGTATCATGTCCTATGTAATCGCTCAATCAGTGATTTAGCCGCAGCAAGACGTCAGTAAAAACAGCTTGTATAATAGCATGAAACATAACGTTACATTTACCCCAAGAAATGCCCATAGCTCGTTAGTTAGCTAGAACAAATGACTCTATAGAGGAGCATTTTACTAAATATATGCAATATATTTGTTATTTATTATTCTTTGACTTAACCTGTAAGTAAGGTTTTTACTACCGAGTATGTTAGTGCATGACTTTGACTTACTTGATTAATGTATGTTTGAATAAGTTTTTGACAGCCGCCGGTTTAAATGTTTGTTTCAGCAACAAGTTGGAGTAGAAACATAATTATATAAATAAATAGATATGAAGTTATACTAAAATATGTGCAGTTTAAATCTTTGTATATAACTCAGTTTTGAGATTTTTTGCTTATTGCTTACCTTACATGTAATTCAGTTTTTTTTTGTACACAGTTGAGTGCTGATCATTATTTCTCATATCTCATTATTATTAAGTTATACTGTACCTGATATATCCAAACAAATCAATATCGAATCAAATTTAAAGTTTTTGAATCTGAAAAAAATGTCAATTAGGGCTGTCACGATATTAGGTTTTTCACACCACGGTTATTGTGGCCAAAGTATTTCACGATATTGATATATCGCGATATCTATAGAAACCTTGGGGAACCAGCCAAATTAATTTTTACTTTATTTAGTTTTTCTCTTTACCCAATGAACATAAGGATACTCTGACTTTCTCGGTCCTCTTTGAAACTCCCTATGGAATAACAAGAGAGAAAGTAGTGTCAAGTTCAACAGTATGATGAATAAATATTAACACCAAAACTGATACTTTAACCTGTTAACTTGCGTACCTGTATTTTAATCTCTTTAACCTATAGTTAGTCATGCAGTTAACACGTTTCTAATTCTGTTTTAATGTGTGTCTAGAACGGCCGCAGATGAGGCATTAAGTGCATGGCACTGCGACCAACTTAACATTTTACAGAGTTTAATGTAGCAATGTGGTCGTTCAGTTTTTCTAAATATTTTAATCATGCAATAGATTTAAACAAAGAAATCAAGTGCTACGCACATGTATTGGTCATGACTTGATTGCGAATACAAATACAAAAATTAGACGAGTAAAGAAAACGCGGTACTTATTAAAATATATGAACACAGGAAACCGCTGTTAACAGGTTAATGTAACGTTTCCCATTCCATGACTAGTAAAATAATGGCAACTTACTGTTTGAACATGGTTCTTCTCAGTAGCGCGGCTGTGTGCTGCGTCGTCTTGTTTAACAGGTGTCAGCATTAAGGCGCAATACTGCCACCCGGGAGGTCAACCAGGTACTGGCGCTGGATTAGGCTATTTGTGTGTTGTTATCATGAGTGTCCTGTGCATTTTAAATATTGTGGTTATCGACAATACCGGTATATCGCGACACCCCTAGTGTCAATACACAGCCTTAGTGTTGCCTAGTGTTGAATATCCTAATTCGAGTAATGGCTTTAATCAGTGGTTTCATTTCCTGATTTCATTATCTGTCTGTGCTTATCTGAATGTGTGGATGGATTTTTGAATTAAGAGGGCTTGGCTTGTGCTATCAGAGTTGCTGCTATCGTGCAATGGAGTGTGTACCCCAACCCCCTCGCCCCCAAGACTGTTGTCCTGTATATCCCCTCACTCAATCTCATGCTGTTCGTTCTCATTACAGAACATCACTGGTATCTCTGCCATGTCTCCTTACGAAAAGAGGATAGAGAAGACCGGTTAATAGAAGGGTTTAACCCTGTCAAATTGCACAACTCCTCATTTCTCCATACCTTGCGCCATGCATTTTTTAAAATTACAATCCTGCTGATATCGAGACGCGATCACTGCAACGCTCTAGTTAGCGCACATTTTCGTTTGACTTAAAGTGGTGGTTCACAGTTTTTTTTTTTTTCTAGGCTTGATTGTGTTTATGGGGTGCAGTCTAACATGTTAATGCTTTTAAAAAAAATAATAATTATTTTTCCCATAATTTACCTTTATTCCACACAGCTCTGTCCCTTCTCTGAGAAACGGGCTGATCTTTTCCTGTTTTTATGAAGCCCCGCTCTCAGAAATAGGCGATGGGCTCTGATTGGTTAGCTAGCCCAGTGTGTTGTGATTGGCTCAACTGTCTCTAGTGCGCATCTAAACATCCCGCCCCTCACTTCAGCGGCATGTGCTCCGGTTGTATTGTAAACAACGGCATCGATAATATCGCTTATCAGTTTGAGCCTGATTGAGAAGCAGAGGATATTATTGAAGAGGATCGTGCAGATCCTGTGCAAGCATGGCTTTTAATGGTAGGCCTATGTTTTTTGTTTGTTGTTGTCATACTTTTAGATACGCTGTTGTAAATGCTACTGCTTATGTTAGCTTTTAATATATGGTTTTATCCTGATTAAAGCTTTAATACAGTAGCTATGTGAAAATAAGTGTATAATTGGAACAGTTCATTGTTGGAGCTGAGAGCGAGAGATGCAGAGCAGGGGAACGCGAGGAACAGTATTGAGAACCGTTGCTTTTGAACATTGATTTTGAAACTGTGAATCCATTAGAATCGTTAGAAGACAGAATCGCGATTCATATGTGAACATTTTTACATGCACCTCTAGTTTTCTCTTCCTCTTCTCTAAAGCAGCGCAGCATGGCATCGCCCCCTTTGCTGCCTTTGCCCGAGGGCGGGGTTTATCTGGGTTTGTGATGTTACGAATCCGGGAAGTAACTTGTTGTAGTCCCTACCAGCCGTTTTTGTAGGCATTAAACTTCCAGAATTTTAAAAGATGATATAACCATTTGCATTGAACTTTCAGCTTCGTAACTTTGCAGATATTGTTTATGCTCAAACAGCAACATTACTAACTTCGTTAAAAAAGTGCTCATCATATCAGCATGAGTTTAGAGGCCTTCAGTTTATGGTGTAAATTTGCATTGGATTTTTGATACCGATTGCTAACTTATCCTTGGTATATGGCTGTGCTCCCTCTGCTGAGGAGGGATTGTCACATTCATTAGCGAACAGCTTGCCTCGACTTGCTGAGCTGATCCTTTAAGATATTTTTATTTATGCTCTGTTGCCAAGAATGAGAAAACGAGCAAAACAACTTGCATATGTACATGGAGTCTGCCAGTTGTCAAAGGTGATGTCAGATGTGGATAAGGTGACGCTTTACTTATGCAAGACTTCAGCCCATGTCTGTTGGCTTGTGACAGAAATAACCTGTAGCCATAAAGTCATCACCATACGTTCTCTTTCAAAGTGAGTGAGCCTGCTTGGCCGGAATGCCACCTTCTTCTGGAATTAGTGTGGCATTTCGCACTTCTGAGATGCAGAGTGCAGGCTCAACCCACTTATCACTTGCTGGAATAACATCTTTGTCAGTTTCAGACTCGGCACTCAGTGTTTATTAGCTTAGTTTGGGCTGTAAAATCTGTCAAGCGCTGGCTAGCACGCTGCTGTGATGCTGGGGAATGTCACATTGGTTTTGCTATGCTGTCATTGGTTGTGGAATACAGACACTGTTGCTCGCTGGTGGCGGAGACTGTCAGCTATGCAGTTTTGCTCGACCATGCGTGGTTCGACTGATAATGCCACCATTGAGTGGGGTTAAAGCTTCCCTAGATTGAAAAGAGATCCCGGTACCCAGCTGTTGCTTACCAGCTGTTCTGCGAGTCGGCTAAATGTAATCGTTGCATAATGCACGTTAGAAACCACCAAATCCTTGAACGGTTTTCTCCCTAACAGCTCTAGAATTGTCTGCTGCATGTATACGTGCCATAGTGATGCGCGGATGAGCTAAAATGTCACCCGAATCCGCAGCTTCAAATAAATTATCCACCTGCCAAACCTGCCCGCACCTGTATTTTTGTCTGATTTAGATAAACACGATCATCACAATAGGGTTCGTACATTCATGAAAAACCTGGAAAAGTAATTGAAAAGCAATTTCCAGGTTTATGTAAAAATAAAAAAGCATGAAAATCTATTTCACAATTCTCTGTATAATAGAATTGTTTAATCAGATCCTGAATTTCGTTGTGGGATTGCGCATACATCGCATTACTCATTCCCACAGCTTTCGACTTTAAAATGAGGGAAATTACTGCAAAACCTTTATTCAATATGGCGAGTAGGTTAGATGAGTAAATAAATCCACACAAACCATCAGATGAAAACAGCGTAGGTGATTCAGCTGTACCGCGTCTTCTCTCTTTGACTTTCTCTACACATCGACGCATCTAGAGCTGCTGCACTCTGTGATAGAAGATTTTAGCTCGCAGTTGACAGATTTTTCGGTCATTGTTGCATTTTTGTGACAAATTTATTATTTTCACGTCTTTTTAAGCCATTCGGTGCTCGTGCTCTCCAGAGGCGCGTGCGCACAGTCACATCCAAAGTGCGTACTGTCAGTACCAAATTAAGAAAGTAGGCTACTGTCAGTTTTGTCTTAAGTTAATGAGTATCAGTATTGGATCCGTGAAGTAGGTCTTGTGACAGCAGCTTAATAAAGCTGTGCCGTCTTTTATTAATGTTAATCAAACAACAAAATCCCTTACTGCTCTTGACTAAATAATGTTTTGTTGAATAACTTTTAATGTTAATTTACAGTTTATTCAATTTCTGTAGCCTATTTAAAACACGTTCATAATTTAGAAAATGTAGTTAATACTTGTATAATTAATGATTTTATCCACCCGCGACCCACCCGCAAAAAATCAGAATGCATTTTTTTTTATTACCCGACCCACCCGATCCGCGGATTATCCGCAGCGCCCACGAATATAACCGCCATCCGCGCATCACTAATGTGCAACATTAGCATGTCTCCTGGCTAGAATGAGTATTATTTACTGTAGAAACCGATTTTAATTGCTTTGCACCTTTAGATGGGACAGATGAAGGATGCTGGGAATGATAATGCCGTCTGCCTTCCCTCCATGGTATCTGGATGCTCATAGTGCCGCCTTTAGACATCCACTTTCAACATTTCATCACAAGCTTCTGTGGTCCTCTTGTGAGAGCTACCTTAGAAGTAATAGATGTGAGTTTATTATGGGTGCACTGATCACTATCAGGCCCATGAAAATAGTCTTATTGATTGCTCCCTCAGGAGGGAATGACAGTCCTGGAGACCTTAGTTCTTTTTGTGTGGTATATGGTGGGGTGAATTTATTTTTAAGTGATTGGTAAAAATAGAAAGGTTCTTAGAGATACTATTCAGTGTGTGGCAACCACTGCTTGCGCAATAACCCAGAAAATCTTGTTACCATCATTCTGTGAGACTTGCTTCCTGTTACCAGGGAACACTGTGCGCATGATTCCAAACATCAACAAAGGAAGGAATGAGACCCCCTCTCGAGCACAAAGCTCTTATTCACTGCCCCCTCAAATAGATTTTTCTCTCTTTTCATTGAGTCAATTTCAGTCGAGTCTAGTTTTGATTTTGGCCATTACTTGCACTCTTGGCCATGTTCATTGCAGGCTTTTTTAATTTTTTTAAGTATGGCTTGAGTGGGATGTGGAGATCTGCACGAGTACGTTCAATTCATTTGCCGACGCATTTGACAACCTGAAACTGTGTCGAATAAGAGGTTTGTGGTCGCACGGCAGCACTTATTCATTTCAGTATTTTAAGCTGCTGTTAAAATGCTCTGCTTTGTCACATTCAAAAGGTTTCAACATGAGCCAACTGGGATGTGAAGGCAAGTGATGACACCCTTTTGCAGGCACATCAGATAAGACGTCAGTGTTATCCCAGGGACTCGACCTTCTCTGAAAGGACTCATTTGGTGTGCTAGCATGTGTCACAGAGCTCTGGCTATAAGTAGACATGAATCGAGCTTTTGCTTTCACCATCATGTTTCACTGCTTCTGACTTGCGTCTCCATCTAGCATTTCACAAAATGAAATCCTAATGCAATTAACCTGTCCCCCCCCCCCCCAACCACTGGCATTATCCTTGAACATGAAAACCCGCTGGCCTGGTGATTAGCTCTATTTGACCTTGTGGTTGTTCTTGTGTAAAGTGGTTGGCTCTGCTCTTATGACAGACTGCAGGGTGGCTGAATCAGACCTACCGCCTGGATTGTTGGTTTAAGTCTCACAGCTCACCATGTAGCCCTTTGTTGCAGGGGATTATTGGTGTTTTTCTCCTGTCGTGCTCATTGTTTACTTGGGTTTGTTTGCATAAAACGTAAAAAAATGTCAATGTGTAAGAGAAGAGCAGACATTGATAAATCTGACGACGCACGAGAACTCAATTCGGTCCGGTTTTCTGAGCGCAGACACTGAAGCATACTACACAAACAGAAAGCGCGTCTCACAGCACGCGAGTACTCTTTTGCGTCGCATTAGCGGAGAATTACACCCAAAACGATGTCGAATTGTCTGTTTTGACGAGTATTCACGTAAATGCAGTTGATTACGTCTTAAGTGAACATGTATCAGTACATTGCATCCATTGCAGCTGTGCATTCGGTTTTAAAGAGACAGCAGCCTAATTTAGTTGCTATTGTCCGAGTCATTGATGTTAATCAAGCAACAAAAGAAAGACAGAAAATCACGCACTGCTCTTGACTGAAAAACTTTAGTAGCCTTAAAGATTAATCTAAATTTATTTATAGAAATAAATGTCTTCTTAAAAGAATGAAGAATATGGTGAACAAGCTGCTATAAAGAATGCATAATTAGCCTATAATACCATTGGTATTTCATTAAAAAGAAGACCATGTTCTTGTTCTTTGAGAAGTGGTTTTTATTTTAACATAAAGGCATGTTGTGTGTCACTGCAGTTAAACCATGATAAAACCTTAATATCAAACCTATATGAGTTTGGAAATTTTAGAGAAATGCTTAATAAATGCACTGTAACTAAACCCATTATATTTTAGCCTACTAAATTTACTGTAGATTTAGTTGACTAAAACTAAAAACATTTCAGATGACTAAAATGATTAAAACTAAATGGCATTTTAGTCAAAAGACTATGACTAAAACTAAATCAAAATTTGCTGTCAAAATTAACACTGCTTGCAAGTGACTTTGGATGGTATTATCATGGTCAATTAACAGAAAGGGATTTTAATCAAATAACAGACAATAATTAGGTCCCAGTCTTTTGCATTTCAAAAGGCCTTTTTGGAAGTAATTGCATCTTCAGATGTTGAATTATCTGTTATGGCAACTTCCACGTTGGGAAATGATCATTTCATTGACCTTGCTACTCTTGCATCATGAAGGCTATGAAAGGACGAATTAAAACTAATAATCAGACTCTGTGTATGACTGTTTTTCTGTAGGAGAATCCATGAAGTTGGCCTCAGGAGAGTTTGCAGAGGATCCCTGTTCTTCAGTGAAGAGAGGCAACATGGTCCGTGCTGCACGTGCCCTTCTTTCTGCTGTCACTCATCTGCTTGTACTGGCGGACATGGCTGATGTGTACCAGCTTCTGCTTCAGCTCAAACTGGTGAGACATATGCACACACGTTTACCCTTTAAAAGGTTGGTTCACCAAAAAGTGAAAATGTTATTTACTCAAGCTGTCATACACTACCGTTAAAAGGTTTTGACAGTAAGTTTAATACTTTTTATTCAGCCAAGCATAAATCACATTGATCAAAAATGACAGTAAAGACATTTATGATGTTACAGTAAATTGGTATTTTAAATAAATTCTGACTGTTTTAACTTTAATAGCCTGATAAAATGTATATTGGTTTACATAAACATATGAGGCATAGGGGTGTGCGATTATATATCATCTGCGATAATATCGTAATTGTTGGTTTAATGATTTTTTGCAATTTGACATTATCGAGTATTTTGCAAAAACCAAACAAAACACCTACGCAGTGCACACATTACGTGATGAAGTCTAATGGGTTAAAAAGTGCACGTGCGTATTTAGAGTGTGTTCTTTCACTGCATAATTCAGTCTATTAAAATGCATTAAGGATGATTACAAAATTCAAGATATGGGGGCAGAAAATTTGTATGTCCATCCATCTTCATGGATAACGCGCACACGTTCATTCACTCACACAGATCACGCTGCGGCCGCACTCAGACATTCAAGAACACAATTTTTAGTGCTGCCCCGCCGTTTTATCAACTAAATAGCTTAATCGCTCAAGAGCTACATTAACTTTCTCAACAAGGAGCTGGTAACATCATTGTTTCTAAAGAAATTAAAGCCACAGCTTCACTGTTAGAGAAACGCGGCAAAACGGTGGTAATTCATACATACACCGCCTCTCTCTCTTTCTCTCATAAATGAACACTTGATGAATTACTCTTTTCTGAGAATAGAATATTGAAGTGGAGATTGCTAAACTGCAAGCTAACCAGTGTTTTCAGAAAGCAAGCGCGTTTATCCACAGTGGCGAGAGAGCGCGTACACATGGTTGCCAGGTCGACAAAGATAAGTAGCACGCTTAGCATATATTTCCGTATTGCGCAAGTGGGAAGCTCTGTTTTGGGGATTACATCTCTTTATATGAGGCAACCCCGGTTGTGTTCCTCTGTGGCTAGATTAAACCTTGTTGTAGCCTATATATTATGCTCTATTCATTATTTTTTAGAAACCTTGCACTTTTCTACTCTTTCTAATTATTAAGCCTTAAAGTTCTGCATACTTAAGGGCGTGGCCACTTGATTGACAGGTGGATTGCTGCTCTGCTCCAGAGTGTGAAACTCACTAGACTGTGAAAGTTAGAAAATGGCTTTAAAGATTTTTATTTGTCCAGAAAAAATTCATTATGGGTAGGACACTGAAAATCTGGCAATTAGATGTTTTAGTGAAAATTCTCAAACTTGATTTTTACCGCTATTTTGAAGTTATTGTAGATACTCTGCCTTTGCACTGTCTGCAAAATCACGCCAAGGCAAAAGGCAGTAGCTTCCACATACAATATTTGGGTGCTGATCACCATTTACAGAATCATTATAGTAACATCTGTATAAAATCAAGTGATCATTGGCTAGGCTATAACATATAGTAATGTAATTCAGTTTTTTCTTCTGACCGTAACAACCAGACAAAGTTAAACGTGAGTGGATACCGTTTTGCAACCAATTTATTTGCAGTGTTCGCTAATATTAAAGGATGCAAGACATACTTAGCCTATTGTATTTACATCGAACTGAATGAAAATAGCTTAACCTTAGAATGACTTGTGGATTGATGTGAACGCCAGCAGGAATAATGCTCAGAATGATTGTGAATTAAACATCTCCGATGACGTTCATTGCAAAGTTTTTTTATCAATTTACAAGAAAATGTAGGAAACTGATTTAATTGTGAACAGTTACTGATTTTGTGTGATACGCTGTCATGGCATTCGACTCCTCACACGTGTAGAAGTGGGCAGCCCTAGACTGACAGCTGGCATCTGCATTATAAAAATATATATATTTTTTTAAGATTATTTACGATTAATTATTGTTGCCAAGTTATCTAGTCATTGCTTGTTTACAGTGCTTTGTTATATGGATCAGTTTGTTAGATTGCGATCGATCACATTTGTTTGTCTAAAGAAGTGCCGACAGATGTATGGAAGTACACAAGTCACACCATAATTTAAACGCGGCAGACTTTAATGGACAATAAAACAAAGGCAGAATACCGTACAACTCCAGGCTGGCACAGTAATACTGACGGCCGGCTAAACGAATGCGGAGCACTGTAACTTCTGAACTTCTAACGATCTAAAACAAAGTCAAAGAGCGGTAACTGATGATACTGTGTTCTGCCTTGGTTTCTCCTGGGCTTTTCTCCATGATACTTATACACATGATAAAGGAGGTCATATATGTCCCAAAATTATCAATAACTTATTTCGACCAAAAACGAAGTTATGGTGTTTTGTCTTTGCACAGCAGCACTGCTGTCACCATAGACGGGCGTGGTTTCAGCAACTAGCACCTCAGCTTCACCCACGTCCTGCCGCCTTGCCCATTTTCGATTATCCGGGAGTGACGTGCTGCAGAGATGGCGGCGGTCAGCTCCGTCCACTTTAGGCTTCAAAAATGCTCTTCTGAAACCTACGAGTGATGTCACGGACACTACGTCCATATATTTTTACAGTCTATGGTAACGAAACACGTATTCGTATTGAACCGTTCTGTACGAGGATTTTGGTTTGGTACGCATTACAAACCGAACGATTCGTTGGACTAATCCTATTACATTTGGAAAATAAAATAAAGTGTGTGAAATATAATGTTCTCAGTGCCACTGTGCTCAACAAGGCAGCCCAAACGATGTCAGGCTAGTCAATATGGCTAGTAACTAGGGCTGGACAATTATTTAATATCAATATATATGGCAATATAATTTTTTTCAATAAGTGATTTTTTTTTAAACATTTCCGATATTTTGATGCACATTATCAGTGTTTCCCAAACATTGATTTATTTGTGGCGTTTGACTTAGTTGAATAAACATGAGCACTGCACGTTTCAAAATCAAAACGCAGCGCAGGTGTTTTAAATATAAATATATTATTATATAATTAATGTTATTAATATTTTAATATTAAGATGAGCCTGAGTGTCTTTTACATTTTATTTGACAGTGATTTCAAATTGTTTTGTTTGTATGAAGACTAAATACAAATAAAACATGAACATTAATTTATTTGTGCAGTTTTTTCACCCTAAAATATTAGTTTTATAGGAGGAGGTTTCATAGACTTGGTAAATTCATTTTTCAGAAGTTTGTAGGTACAGACATCTGTTGTGGGCATTCTTGGCAGTTTGAGGCTTTTACAAATATTGTTCCTATCGATATCAAAATTATGGAACTAGACGAAAAGGAGATGCACACACTACAAACTATCCCCCGTCTGGTGTGAATGCACCATAAGCGTCACCTCCTGGCAGAGAATGAATTTGCATATATATATATGCTGCCACAAATAGAGTCTGTGGGAAACACTGATGTGTGTGTGTGTGTGTGTGTGTGTGTGTATGTAT